TGGTGGTGGTGGGGGGGGGGTGGGGCGGGGGGGCAAATTTATGTGTATACAGTACACTAGTACAGCATAGCAATATAATTTTTTTTTAAGTAATGTTGCTTCAGGTTCTTGCATTAAATTTTCCTAGGGGCAAATGCCAACTTTGAAGCTTAAAAATCGATCTTCACTCTGGTCGAAGGATTTCAGGAAATAAACCCGCTCCTTCTTGAGGAGGGCAGTAAATGTCGGAAGGTTCTCAGAGAACTTGATCAATATTTTGAGCGTTAAAATTTATATTTCCGGTGTTTTGGAAGCACATGTATGCTTTATATATCATCTTCAACATTTCTCTCTTTCTTTTATGAGCGATACTTCCGAAAAAGACAGTTTTGTCATTTTTATGCGGGCAATAAATGGGAAAAGTTCCGAAAGTAGTGACGCTTGAATTATTCTTGTCGAGGCATTGGGAGCAACTGCCGACTTCGTATTCATATAAAATATATTTTTTCTTACTTTCCGTGCGTGAAGCCTTATTCAAGAAAGATATTCGTTTCGAATTAATTTTAAAGCTTTAATAAATACATTTTCATCTGTTCTTTTTTGCGCTTTAAAATTACGGTTTTTTATTGACGCATACTTTTTGAATCCTGCCGCTGTTTTCGGCTTTAATTAGTCTGGATGGCTGTAATTGACTCGGGGTCTGTTGTGCATCTTTCTAGTCAAATTAAAAAGTATGTAATTTTTTGCCCGCCGTGAAAGCGATTCATCATTCCTCCCGTTTGTTTGAAAGGAAAATTCTCGAGCGATAAACGGGAAATCTGAATGGTATTTTCAATACAAGTATTTCTGCAGCATTTTATGCTTACTCTGAATTTTCTACAGTCTTCAAAACTGACCAACCTTAACGCAGTAGGTAAAGTTTGATGTTGAGATTAGTACCTTACTATTTTTTTCACTTGAGGAATTTCGGCATTTTTGCATTACACAAGACGATGATGGAACGGGGAAAGTTGCGGTTAAAAGCTCTACTTTTTTTCTATCGTCCGCCATCCTTGTATTGATTGAACTTTTTTTGCGGCTTTTTGTATGACTTCAGGACACAGTGACTAGATTTATATTTTTACTGAATTCTGAAAAACCACTAAGGAAAATAAATTGCACGAATTTCGTAAATGGTGCTGTTACCTGGAGCGAAATTCAAGACGCGTGCGAATGTAACCGCGGGAAGCAAACTTGACATGAAGTTCTGTCAAGTATTCCTTGAATATTCGATTGAAAAACGTCTGAGAAGAAATTTTAAAAAATCTCGTTCTATGCATCAAAAATGGCAAAAATAAAATATATTCCGTGACGTCGAAATGCGTGGAGTCCATCATTCACGTCGGATATTCCCGCGTTCACATGCCAAAATAATGCAAAATTGCGTCAGTGACATCACGACAGGATTTTTTTTTTCGGGTCCGCTGCGCAAATTTTGGATAAAAACATCATAACGGAAAGATAGTTCCCACTTGGCAAGGTAAAAACCGATTTGAAATCATAATCGATGCTACTAGAGGAATGAAAGTGATCATTCACGTGTAATACATTCACTTTAAGCTCAATTAAATCATTAAATGTGTTCAAAAATAATTCAAATATCACATCGGAAATGACTTGATACTGTATACCGTTACCTTATATCTGTCATATATTTTTGCTGTGAGTTTTCATGGAATAAAATGATGCATGCGAAATTCCGTAATAAATTATTGCCCCAAAAATTGGATTACTGTTAATGTACTTTGCTGTGATTCTTTTTGAATATGTAACTACTGCATGATCTTGTCGAAGTACTGTTTTGCGTTGTTTGAACCCTGCTTAAGCCACGTGGGGTTTGTCTACGTTATCAAAAATATCACAGATTTCTGTACTTCGTGAAAGAGTAACACGAAGTCGGAAGCGGATGTAACCACAAAGCCAAAATCCTGTTAGGGAGGAAAAAAAAATGAAGCTGTAAAATCGAAATCTCTAAAATTATCGACGTTTATGGACTTTTTGCCGGATCTTGCGTAAATTTTGACTTTGATTCGTTTACGTTGACGTTTACTGTAGTTTCGGCTGTTGTCGGATTCGGGTCATTCACCCCTTTTTTGTTGCCTCCGCGAAAGAAACGGATTCGGAATGGTTCCAGGGTTAACTTATTTTTATCATCCTCGGTTTTTTTCTGGTCTTTTTTTTTGTGTGTCTCATTTATTTTCTGAGCACTTTGCTGGACAGGTTTATTTCCGGGTGTGGTTCTCAACTGTCCCATCCCATGGAGAGGGGAACGACACCCACGACGGAACTTCGTTCATAAATATGGGTTGTATCACGACGTTCAATCGCTGGTGGATTGGGTTCCGAGTGCACCACCTGACGGGGTTTCGAGACGCAGAGGAATGAGACAGGGGAATATTGAGTTGGAGAAAAAATTCCTTTGTGTTCGAGCTATAGGCTGAAAAAAATTGAAATTACGGCGACGTAAATTGTATTCAGAACCAATTAATGTGATCATCACCAAACGCCGACTTCAAGTTGACTCAACGTTTCTTCGTGATTCGTCGCGTATAGTTTGTTTCTCGTCAACTCTCTTGTCACACATAAATATTGTATGCATTTGTAAACTCCATGTACAGATTCTACTCCGGTCCTTCACGAATTCCACGATTTAAGGAATGATCTGACTTTTATGGAGCCTCTTATTATAGTCTTCGTTGGGCGTATATCTTCCGTCGCATCAGTCGGCAGCAACGGCATAAATACGCCTTATTCGATCGTTGGGACGGATTTTTGCTTGGCCATCAAGCATCAGTTTTGGATTTATATTCCTCAGTAAGGGTCTTCCATTTCATGATTTGTTTTTGTGGTTTTTTTTTTCATAAACAGGTTCGGCAGAAGGAAGTTTGCCAGGGACCGTTGGATGAGGCAGCGCCAGTCAGACCAAGTCGAAGCCAGGGCGAGGAGCAGCCGAGGAGTCTTCGCCGTCGCGCCTGAGTGTATAAGGTGTACCTCTGACATCCTCGTCGTCATCTTCTGAAGAGAGAGAGAGAGAAAAAAAGGAACCCCCACTGAAAATCAAATAATAAGGCACAAGGAAAAAGAAGAAGAAGAAGAAGTAGAATGCGGGGTTGGTTCGACGCGTTTCGGCACGATGGCGGGCCGACGTTGTATTCGTACAGCAACCGGACGCCTGTCACCGGCGACCCGCTGTCCGTCACGCTCTACGTCATCTTCTTCACAGTCTTCGCCGCCTTCATGCTCATCTTTCCCGGCGTCCGAAAGGAGGTGAGGAATAATCGATTGCTCGTTTACAGTATAACACTTCCTCAAAAAAAAAATCCTTTAGACTGGTAAACGCAGTGTTGTGTGAGGGTTGGTTTATAGTAAACCAATGCTGCTCAACATGCGGCCCGCGGGCCACATCCGGCCCACAGAGACTCATCGTCCGTCCCGCGGTCCCCTTCCCTGTAATTTCCGGGGTGGCAGCCCTCCCACTATCCCACTATTCAAAATATTGAACGATAAATTCATAAATTCAAAGTGTAGCTCCACCCTTCAAAAATACTACAAGATAGATTCACTTCAATTCTTGTGATGCTTGTGATTCAATACCGAGCACTGAATCAAATTTGAAACTTTTCCTTCAAAACGATTTAATTTGGAACCCTAAAAATTTTCTTTTGTGGCCCGCAGGACTCTCCACATCTACAATATAGCCCTTGACCAAAAATAAAATGTATCAAGGGTGGCCTATTAATATTTATTTTCAACATATTATATTTATTTTCAACATATTATATTTATTTTCAACATTTTCTCACATTTGAGTTGGGTAGCACTGGTTCGTGATTTCAGAGCTTGTTTAAGGCTATCTTTTTTTAGTCGAATGAATTGCGACGAACCTGATTTTTTTCCTAGCTTAATATTTATTTTCAACATTTTCTCACTTGACACCTGTCCAAATTTTCGCTATCCCAGTTCGAAATGATGAAAAGACGAAAATTGCAAGGTGTACCACTACAGTACTGTTTTTTGGAAGTACTGCAAAAATCTTATGTGAAAATACTTGATACTTGCTTGCTTTATACTGTTTATTCTCATGCCATCCGAGTGCTACAAAACATTTCAAATACCTTGACAAATATTCTCAGTGGCGATATCATATATTTGACAAGCACGTTCCAGCAATAAAAGAAAACTTTTGTTGATCTTGGCGATTTTCGCATGAACATATCAAAAGTGAAGGTTGTCAGAGAATTTTTACTTGGTGAGGAAAGAGTTGCTCAAGTCACTGCTGTGATTCAATATAGTCAATCCTCTTTTGAGCTGAACTCAGAGGGACCCACAGAAGAATTCATTTTAGGGATTTATTGAGTTCGGGAAGCCAATAGTTTTGCTGGGAAACCATGAAAAATTACAGGAAGGTCAAATTTGTGATATTCTGTGCCATAAAGCATAATCTGCAGTGTAAATAAGTTTACAGGATGCTAAACTTGGAGACAACGCTATACAGTCAAACCACTTCAAATCGCTTTTCAAGGTATCAACAACATAATTTGAGTTGGGGATGTTTCGAGTTCGGAAAACAAGAAAGAAGGAGTGCAGGAAATTGTAATTGGTGATATTTAGGGCCTTAAATTGCTTCTTGAATGAGTTGACAGGACGCTGAAAGTGAGGGCAAGGTAGGGGTTTATTTGCCAATTACTGTACTTTTTGACTAACTGTAGGAGCACATGAAGTTACATTTTTATTGCTTTTCTCGTTCCTGTGTCAATAAATAATGTCCGAAAGACCACCAGAAATTTTGAGGTTTGAGGGGGAAAAGCCTTCGAGTTGGGGAGGTTTTTGAAGCATTGTTTCTAAGGGAATCCGTCTGGGACTTCAACAAAATTCGATGCACGGAGAGGTACTGTATTCGACTTGGGGAAGTACGAGTTATTGAGGTTCAACTGTGTTATTGCAGTTGTGATCCTTGCTTGCTGGAAGCAAGGATTTCGAAGCAATGTTGCGAAGGCGAGGAAATAAATAAAGATGAGTTCGGTTCAACATAGTAAGCACTTGTTTACTGCCGTTGCGACACAGGGAAATAATTTCAGTATCACCGCAGTTTCCCGGACGCAGATGCAGCAACTCGCAGCGTAACGTACTTTTAATACCATCATTATTCCGCAAATCCTGAATTTTCAGAAAAATGAAAAAAAGGCATTCTGGGAAAATGTAAACGTCGAAATCAAACGTTAAAATGTGGCTGGGACGACGAGCTGCTCCACGAAAGCAAGTTGATCTGTATCCTCTTTTCGTTGATACCGATTAATGCTAAAGTCGACGTTTTAATTTAATTCAAGAAAATAGCCGGTTCAAAATTATGAAAAATGTGCTTATTCGAATCAGTGAGATCTAAAAAAATTTGTTAATCGTACTCCGAATTCGAATGAGTGTGAGTTTGAAGCGTGGTTCTGGAGAAATACCGATTTCAAGCAAGTATGCCCACACATCTTTGTTTTACGAGATCAATTGCTAACACAACAAAGTATTGAGAGTTTATGAGCAGGGTATCTTTTCAATAAGTTTCATTTGCGGGTTTTCTTTTAATTGGTGCGAGTTTTGATCCTGCCTGTGTAATGGAATTTCTGATACCAAGTTCAACAGCTAATTTTTTTCAATTTTGAGAGACTGAAGAACAGTTTCAGAATTTCCATGACATCGTACGACTGCGTGGATCAGGTGATCGTTTACATGTACAGTACAGTAGTTACCATCGTCGAGCATTCCGTGTTTTCGTGTTGAACTTTTCCAGCTGGTTGTTTTTGATGTACAGTACTGTAATTGCGCTTGGTACTGCTGCTGTTGCTGCACCAAGGTCCTGTGGGGAAATATATGAAGAAAGAAAAAAAGATGAGTAAAATAGGGGTTTGGTGGTAGAAATATTGTGATTGAGGCCAAGAGGTTACCCCCCTTGTTATTCGCTGTCTAGAATCGGCGTTGTTTGTTTTGCAAGTCGAGGACGTCGGTATCCGAACCGTTGCGCACTTTTATGATGGCTATTAGCTGACTAAAACACGCCGGATGCGCGTTGTTTATTTCCTCTTTCTCTCTGCTACTTTCCGCCTACCCCGGATTTTTTTCTTCTTTTCAGTTGTAGATCGAAAATTGCTTGAAATACTCTCCTCTGATGTCAGAGGTCCTCAAGGAGCCGTTTCTGTGAATTTTTCGGAAGGTTCAGTTTTGAAAAGGTCAATTACCAGGTGTTTTCTGGGGGTTGTTGTCTCGTGAGCTTCGCCAATTCTGGCTAAAATTTTCACAGAGCTGCTTGCGCTTGGTAAAAAAAAAAAAAAAATCAGGACGACTGTAAGTTCATTCCTTGATCCCAATCGGCTTTCATTTTACGTCCTGATTGAAAAAAATGAAGATCCCGGAAATATCAGGGCAAATATCAATTTCATCCTTTCACATTCGTTTCCGAAGAAAGCAACGAAAAAAAATCTTATGTGAAGAACTAAATCGAACCTTGAAAATATTTTCCGAAATATTAAACGTAGTGGCATTGACCAGAAGTTTTCCTTGATTATGAAGTTCACTGATATTTCGAAAGAAAATCTCCCGGTTCGAGGTACGCTTTGCTTTTTAAATTTCGGAAACAGTTCCAAGTTCGATAAAAGGCAGAGCTTTTTTTTTTTTTGTGAAGTGAGCATTTCGAGAATCCGTTCGGAATGGAATATTTCCAGTAGCTAGATCAAAATAAAGGATTTTTCCAAAAATAAAGCAAAAATCAGCATGTACGTATGTATACTGTACTCACATCAGGCTGACGCGTGACAAAAATTCACAACGAAGTAAAAGGAGGACAAAAATTAATGGAATAAAACAGGTTCGGGAAGTTGTTCTGCAACGAACAGCTGAGAAAGAAAATTCCTTCCGGAGTTCTTGATTCTGTTTTCTTCAAGCACCTGTTGGCTGCTGACAGTCGTGTCGAATCCGAACGTGAGGGAAAAGCACGGCTCTCGGTTTGCGCAAAAATTGGAGGAACAATGAGAGACTTTTTTGTTTTAGCTTGAGAAAGAACTTAGTTTTACTTTTGCTGGCCAAGTTCTAAATTCCCGATGTGTTGCATAATCGGAGAAAATTTGAGTTTTTATGATCCTCGCGCCGAAGGACGGCGACGAAATTTTGAAGCTTATCTCTTCATAAAGCACAGTTTGCGGTTTCATTCCGGAAGTTGAAAAAATGACTTTCATTTCAAACCAGGAAATAAAGACTGATATTCCAAGATTTACTTCCTTTCCATGAAAATTTAAAGCCAGTAGTTGCATTATTCCGGTTAAAGAAGCTTCCGATTATACTGTTCTGCACAACATCAACGGCGTCAAATTTTGGTTCGCCTCACAGGTTTTTCGCTCACGTGACCGAAGCTCCTTACAATTTTTGTGTGTGTATAATTTCTAAATGATTTGAATCTAATAGGATTTTCCGTGATTTCAAAATGAGTAGGCATGATCGCGAAAAATCGATGGGAGTCCGTGCCATTTCCCGTCTCTTCATCATGGAAGTACTGTACAGCAAAATAACCTGAAACGAGAAAAGCAAATCCAAAGCGACCAAAAAGGGTCTAAAAGCTTTTATGCACAGGTTGAAAGACCTGTTGAAAAACCTTCTCATTGGAACGGATTGATTCTGTTGAATGAGGCAACATTGTTGATTTCCGAGTTCATTCGGGCATTTATGTTCGGATTTCAGTCACGGCTTCAGTTTTCTTTACGCGATAAAATTGAGGGAAAACAATAAAAGCTGCAATGGAATTCAATGTGAAGGAAATCTAGACGAAAAAATGTCTCACCATTGGCCAGTTATTCAAATTCTATCCCGGAAGCTGTAAAATTTGATGCGTGACTGCCAGTAGTTTTTCTCGCTGTTCTTTGGCATTGCTTCTAAAAGTGGGTACGTGAATGCCGAGTACTTTCAACTGATAATTCATCCAGTTCCCTTTTTTGCCATTCAACTTTTTAAATAGTTTTTTCTTCGCTGATTCGAATGCCTCTGATTAAAATTTGCATTTGATTAAAAAGTCAGCAGAATATTCATTCTCCTCGTAAAAGTTGACGTCTCATCTGCGCACAATAACTATTGCTTATCAACGATTTCAGCGAATATCACAAATCATCCCGACATGTGCTCTGTAAATTCTTCAACTCGGTCCCGTAAATCCGTTTGGAGTTCCTATTATTTACAGTTTATTTCATGATATACTTTTGACGATCTTTGAAATGGTGTCCTAAGCCAAGTCCATTTGTCAGCGAGAGAAAGAAAGTAAAGGCCAGAGCTGACGATTCTAAGAAAACATCAAGTCTCTTGCCAAGAGGTGGATGAGTCAACTGTGCAATTTTATTGACAAGAGGAAAAAAATCTCCGATCATTTTCTAAAATTGCCACGTCAAAATAATGGATTAGCAGTAGCACTACAGTAGCTGCTCATAAGAATTTAATGTTTCACATGTTTCACGCATGTTTGATTGACAATCGAAGACTTCAACGTCCATCACTGGATGCAAGATAAATATCTGTCGAATTTTATTTTTTAAGAGAAAGTACTGTAATGCTGATCAATGACTGCAATTTTTTACAAGTTTCCTTAATCACGTTCCAATTCGTCCTCCATTTTGAAATTCCCCAGCGAAAGGCAACTAATACGGTGGTTTTAACTCTTAAGAAGTCCTAACGTTTTATAAATACGGCATATAACTGCTTTTGCGTACTTAGAACTTTTAGGGCACAAACACAAAATGAGGTATTGGATCTTTTATTTTATCTGTAGAAACAAAAATTGAAAAATGTACCTGAAGATGGAACAAATTATTCAACTATAACCTCCCGTGGTTATAAGATTCACTCATTCTGATTTTTCATGCCACTTTTTACGAAACAATTTCGTTTCATATCATATAATTTTCGGTATATTTGAATAAATACCGTAATCGATGTTTGAAGTAAGTTCGAAAGAAGAAATATGAGGAAACCTTGCAGCAGGTTAAAAATCTTGGATAGCTCTTCAATTCGGACCCCGGGTGCCCTTGAGGCAAGGACAGTAGTCGGTTTGAGTGACAGTTTTCACGCGCCTTGTGATTCTACTCGTCCACCGGTACTTGAAGTACTTATTTATCTCACCAAGAATCTCGAGGACAAAAACGAGCCAAATGTCAAGGTCGACGCTTAGGAATCCCCCTTTTTCTCATCGGAATTCCTGATCACCGGAATTAAACCCTGTCGATTCCCGTGCCTTGGGGGCAAATAATTGCGTGTTTCGCCTCCGTCCATGTGGGCTTTGTGATCAGGCGGATTTCTTGAGTTCACCCAATATATACCTGTATCTTTACGGCATGTCATTATTAAAAGTACATATCGGGGAAAATTAATCACGGCGAGTAAAAGGAGTGTCTCGTATTTTACGAAGAGAAAGGTGAGAATGCGTTCTATGATCTGACGGATCGCATCGCATGAAGAGAAAAATGCAGCAAACGATTTTGGAGATGAAAGGGGGAAAGGCTAAACTGGTCGGAGAAATATTGTACGAAAAAGTGTCTGCATATTTGCTTGAAAGAGAAATTCTTTTTTGGGGGATTCAGTTGATTTTGGACCGACTGAATGCTTTGATCTTCGACACAAAACAAGATTGACGCGTTCAACATTTTTTGATTCGGGATTTGCCTGAAAGAAAAAAAAAACTTTTGGCAAACCAAAAGTCCAACAAACATTCGAGTGCATTCGGAGAAATGGATTTTCCTTCCCGAATGATATTGGAGTTGCCCTGAATTATTGAGCTTTAAAAGTTTGAGATAAAATTCACAACAAAATCAGAACCAAAAATTTGTGCTATGGACTGAAGAGCGCACAAACTCATATTTCAACAGAGTGAACCAGAAAAAAATTGGGTTTAAGATAAAACCTCAAAATCTCCTCAGCAGTTCCTCGAACTGTCACATTGAACACAAAAAGGAAAGATTTACCAATTACATTTTTTTAAATTTTTTGAGTTTAGTTTAGGTTTTTTGGACCACAAAGCCAATCAAGATACTGTAATTATTAAATTATTTTGCATATAGAAAATTGATACATGCTCACCTACGAATGTTGACGAGAAGGCTTGTCATAGATTTTAAGCGTTTCGAAGTGGTTTTCAAAAAGACAGCGGAACAACGCAACTTTGTTTCCCTCTTTTTAAATGTATGTGCTTCAGATCCATATCCAATTATTTTCATATTTCTAGTTCAATTCATTTCCCCAGGGTTTTAACGAAACAATCATATTTATGGGCAGCAGAATTCCCTCTCCCGAATTGAGATGCGAAATTATGCCTGATTCGATTGATTTATTCATCGGAAAGATGATTAGCATCATAAAAAACACCCCCACTGTGATATATCGCGGCTGTTTCTCGTTTTCATGAATATCTGAATGAACTTTTGTTTAAATTCACATGTCGTCGCCGTATTTCATTTATTATGGCCTTTTCATTCTTATTTCTTCTGAAAAAATTCCTACAGCCAGTGTGAGATTAATCACCTCGAGGAAATCGTTGTTGAAGCGGTGTTCTGGAAATCATCCCCGCTTGTAAAATGCAAATGATTCTGCGAACTGGGAAATTGTCTGAGGCGGAACACTCAATACAGCATCATTTCGCGGAGATGAAAAGCTGTGGCTTGAAAAGATCACCTCGAGGAAAATTCTTGTTGACGCTGTATTCAGAAAATGATCCCTGCGTGTGAAATGCAAATGATTCTGTGAACTGGAAAAATTACCTGAAGGGGGAACAACACTCGATATCATTTGCATTTGGCGTGAGATGAAAAGCTGTTACTTGAGAAGCAAGTGGGATCACTGGGTGTGATTACGTTTTAATTCTCCGATGATGATGGTGATGATGATGCCAGGAAACTGTATGGAATAACTCGTATGACTTCATTTCGATGGTAATACCGTACATAATGCAAGTCTGAGCCTGCATGAGCATTTTCTTTCACTGTTTTTTTTTCGTATTTCCTGTTTTTTTGTTTCTCTGACATATGGTGATGTCGAAAATCATCCAGACTTTGATCAGCGTCATATGGCTTCATTGGTGATATCCTTTTCCTTTCTTCGAGCTGTCCAGGCAGCAGTTGTCTGGCAATCATCGGATGTCGAAAAAAGCATTATATCATCATTACGTCTCATCCAAGTAAACATAATGACAGTTGTAAAAGTCTGTATTTACTTTTAAAATCCATGATTAGGAAAAAAATTTTGTATGAATTCGGAGTTTTTCTGCAATTTTTAGCTGATTGAATGAATGCTAATTCACAGAAAATAGCTTTAAAGCGCAAAAGTATCTTCTGAAGAACCGATCATTTTAGTGCGAATAAGAAAGATCATTTCAGCTTTTAATGAATTTATGTCTGGTTTAATCAATTCCTGACCCCAGGTTATATTTTGTTGGCCAAGTTTAAAATAGGAAGGATTACAGGATGTTGAAATTGTATCCCATTACTGCAAAGAAATATTCTTTGTTATGTTACTTATCTCCAACTCTTCCAAATTTCTTCACTCGGGAGAACGCAATTTTTAAAATTTTCCTCAATGCACAAAAGTATCTAAACATCCAGTACTCGATTTACCGGTATTTCATCTGATGCGAAGCTTGGAACAAGAGTTCTCATGTTCGTCCTCGATTCTCTCCGTTCTTGTCGATATACATTTTTGTATATCCTTCAGAAGTCGGAAAAAATGGGGGAAATGCCACTACATTTTTTTTTTTCAAGATAAAATTGAGCCTCAATCGTGTCAGTCGAAGCACGTTTCTTCCGAGTTTCGTGCATAAACGGTGCAAGAAAAACCCCGGGGAGTCAAAAATGCATAAATAATAATAATAATGAGAAGAAGAAATAAAATAATATAGTAATCAGTGGCATCCCGGAACACGCGTCGCGAGAAAGCCAAGAAAAAGGCAATTATTGTATTCGGCGCCGCGACACGGGAAACTCAGCAAACGAATGCACGAGGTCGGGAAAGGTCACTGAGAGTGAAACGATGGAGACCGACGACTACGAGAACATGGAGACGAGAATATTACGAGAAACAAGAATAATTTCCAATAACGAGAACTGATGGCTGGCGAATCCGGGCGTCGATATTCTAGCTTAGAAAGTAGTTGTACAGTACCACTAGCTTGCTGTGTTTTTTTCCCGCCTTACCAGCAATAAGAGGGGCTGCTTCAACGCGACGACGAAGGAACCCGGGCGACGAAGAAGAACCCCGAAGAATGACGAGAAGATAGATATGTAAATACTGTACTGTATGATAGATAGATGGGGAAATAATGGATTCTTAGTCATCGCCCGAATGCATTTTTTTCTCTTCTTTCACTAACGGTGAAATTCTCTCTTTTACTGCATACCTGAGCATCTGATCAACCAGGTACCAAATTTACAGTGTTTTTCGGAAATTCCGATTCCGTGCACAAAAAAAAACTAAGCGGCCTGTATATTAGCGGGGGAAAAATCAGAAGGATTCTGGAAAGATCAGATATGAAAGAAAACGTCTGCTAAATTATACGATAGGTTGAGCAATTCTCAGTTCACGGCCAATATTTCAAATTCGCACGTTTATTCATTCGTGGCTGAACGATCCGAAGGAAAGACGATCCAGAGCTTTTATGAAGCATGAAATCCGCGATTTCTTCCCGAGGACCTCATCGATGTTCTCAGAATTATTTTCATCGATCGCTACTGTTCACGATCGAATTCAATTTCACGCTAGCGAATCTAAAATATTTGCAGCGTGTTTTTCCTGGAGGATTTTTTTTTATCCACGTGCCGCTAACCTTCATGCAAAAAAAGCATTCCCGTAAAACAAAGCTTGAAAAGTAAGGCCGGTGGCTTTTTCACGCCGCAGCGAAAACTTTCAGGCTGATTTTTTAAGCGGCTGCTTCTTTTTCAAAAAAAAAAAAGAAGCTGGAAACTTTTTCTTCTGTAGTTGAAACGGTCCAATTATTTAATATGTTCTCGCCATTGTTTGCTTTCTTGCAGAAATTCACCACTTTTCTGAGCGTCACTCTCAGCCTGTTCGTCGGCACCGTGATACTTGGTGAGTACAACTTATTCTTTTTTATTTCGTTTTCAAGGGATTTTTTCTCGTTGAAGAATATTTAGCTTTTTGTGCTCGAAGACAATTGCTATCACCATCGCAAATTGTATTTTTATTTCGTTTTTAATGAATTTGTTCTTGTTGAAAAATGTTTAGCTTTTTGTGCTCGAAGGCAATTGCGATCACCATCACAAACTGTATTCCTCGAGAATTTTGCATAGGATTTTTATAATTTTTTGTTGGGTGTTTATGTGAATTTATTTTAAATGAGATGCCGGCTACGGTTTTCTGGAATTTTTAATAGCTTTCTCTATCAGAAAAAGTGATTATGAAGAACAGCCAGTTTTAACATCGGAAGAAGTTAATTCATTCTTGATTTTATGATGGAAAGGAAAATGTTTGATTCGCAAGAGTGGCTTCTGAATTCGAGTCAAGTGTGAACGACTTCTCAAGCACCCGCGCAGAAGAAAAAAAAATCGCGAATTTTCATTTTCTCGCGTCACGCGAATTCAGTTTGCGTTGAATTTGAATTCAGTTCACGTTGAATTAAAATTTCAAATTACATTCGAACTGCGACAAGGAGACGTTTTGCGTAATTATATTTACCTTTTTTTTCTCAATCAGTGGGAAAGCATTAACAACACTAAACTTACGCCTTCTTAAGCCAAGCCAACTGGCGTTATAAGACCCCAGTAGCGCGCTTTCCCTGACCGTAATAAGTCCGCCCACAACTTATTAAAGCAGCCCATTCTCGTTGAGATATTTGTAATCAAAAGTGTGAAAGTAAATCCTTTTTTTTTTGAAAGACGGCATGGTGGAGGAGGTGTCGCGGCTTCTCTACGCACCCACGCTCCTTAGGCTTGGGGCTTCTGATTTTTACTGTACAGTACTTATAAGAAGCAGCCGTAGCTCACTAAACATTAAGTTGGTCCAACATAGCCTTTGTATTCTGTGGTAGTAAAAAAAATGTTTTCGTTGCTTTTCGGCTCATTCTTTCCTGTGCACCCATGTGTCGATTCTTGGGGTTCAGTTGCCTATTGAATGAGAACCACCTATGACTTGAATTTTCTCGATTTCTGTAAAATGAGATAATTGACCTGCGAAGGTTGGCAAATTCCCACGCGTGCCTTTTTGTATGAATCGCAACCAAGCAGTCGCACGTCCATCAGCTGAGGATTATTTTCAGTTGGATTCTTCATACTTGAATTTATTCGTCTCAGGCTATTCAATCAATGTTTGCGTAATTGGTTATTGACTTACTAAATTTTGTTTCTCACCTGAGTGATTTCGACGTGAGCTAACGCAAACTTATTTAGATTTGCCTGATGAGAACCATGAGTGATTTTAGGGAATCGCGCCGTTCCTCATTAATCGAGGTACAATCGAATAAAGTAGAAAAACCCCACCCAACTGGAAAAATCGGGAAAATTCGAGAGCAGTTTTCCTTTCACAAATTGTTATGCTTCTGTGTACAGGCGCCGAAAAAGTATCTTTGAGTTCAAATTTATTGGCCAATTCCAGGTCCCTAAATTTTCTTCTGTTTTTTTTTGCATCTTCCACTTCCCGAAGGCCATCTCAATGCACTAGTAAAAGGCATTATTTCCAAACACTTATTAATATGTCTGCCCTGAACCATTTTGGAGATCTACAGAAAGTTTGTTGAGAGGAATAATATTTCATCTTTACATTTTTGTTGTTGCTGAAACTTGTTTGGACAATTTACAGAAAATAATTTTAAACTTTAGTTTGGAATTCTACAAGAATTCCCCACCCGCCCGAAGCTAAATTATTGTGTTTTCTTCAAATTATAGAATTCAAAGCTTTTTGTCTTTTTCGATCCAGATGGTAGAAACTCATGTGGATCTTCGAATCATTTCTTGTGTTGTAAACCGCCTTGGTTCCAAACAAGTCACTTTATACGGAAGTTTCAGTAAAGAACGTCCGTAATTAAGAAAAATTATCTTTCCTTGAACAATGTCTGCATAGACGAGGCCGCAAGATTTGTTCGTCATTGCATTAATTTTTGTTGTACAGTACTGTATGCCTAAACACAACGGGTTCTTCGATCGGAAAATTGTCAGCGTGTTGAAAGTTTCTGAGTTGATTTTTCCAGACACAACATCCCAGTGGAATCATGGAACTGGAAACTTCCGTACATTATCCAAGTGTTGAGAGCGTGACAAATCATTTCCAGAGAACACGACTGAGGTCACCGAGTCCAAGCTGTAACGAAGTACGGATAAAAATTCTCAGACGAGATTTGACGTTATGTTCCTGTTTTTATCTACTAGGAAATGCAGTAATTCGATTCAAAAATAGAATCCTTGTCAGTGTTCCTCGAACTCCGGTTTCCTGGAATGATCATTCCACTAAGGAGCAAGCAGAAAAGAGCTTCTACTCAGCAACGCGATGAGCAAAAAATCGCGCAGACATCTTGAAAAAAATTACTGTGAAACACTTTTTTTTAAAACCAAACTGGCGCTAATTAATGTATAAAATCAGATACGTGAACCAACCATAAGTTACGATGTTACGTTCTAATCCAACCGAAGTGCCTTAGCTTAATCTAATCCAATTTAACGTAAAATACTTGACCCGTCCTAACCAAAGCTATTCGACTCGAAATAGCCCAAGCTAATGTCGATTGTAATTGAATAATGATCCAGTCTAATAAATTAATTCCAATCCAACTAAAGTTAAGTTAAATAATTTAATTGCACCTATGATTTTGAGAGTTCTCATATTTATACCTGTGTACTTTACGATTAATTTTAAAATTGTTCGTCCGATGTTAATAAACTCGTGAACGTTCAAAAGTTTTTACAATCTCATCGCAAATTGAAGATTTGGTAGTTGTTGATCTTTTTTTTCGAAAGTATGATTGATCCTGATGGTTTTGTGAACTTTGCCCGCCTCTTGATTAATGCATCAACTGCTCCGGGTTTTATTGAGCTTTTTTTTTCTTGACCGGCTCGGATTTTCGTGGCGGTTACGCGAGAATGGGAAAGTTGGCCCCTTGGAATGTTGATTGATCAATCAGCGCCCGAGGGGGACTTCAATGTTGGCTTTCGGCGTAACTTTCGGGCGCGGAAACCATTATTCAAGTACCCCGTTGGTTTCTAGGTTACTACCTTTCAAAAAAAATGAAGATTGATTGACCGGATATCGCTTTTTAAAGAAGCTTCATCATTCTTCTTTATTTTATTTTGCTACTTTTAGTCTCTCGCTTTGCTTCTCCTCCCATGTCAAGTGATGGAACGCCGAAAACGCTGTTTGTTGGGGAGGATGTGTCGAGGCTGGTCGGTTTCGATCCGCGGCGGCGGCGCTGGCGGCCGCCGCCGCCGCCGCCGCCGCTGGAGGCCACGACTTTCCCTTTCTGTCTCGTTCTCTCGCTTCCGTTCCGCTTCTTCGCGTCTCTTCCGGACACGCTGCGATTGTGTTGATTCTTCTCTTCTTCCGTCTCCGCTCTCCTTCCGGCCGTATAGTGGCGGTGGAGAGGAAACGAAATGATGGGAGAATGGCGAGAGAGAACAATTAGCAAGTTGTGGGGGGAAAAGAGAGGAGAGATGATAATTGACGATTGTGACGCGTTCGGGCCAGCTGACACCTCGACGGGAACTCGCAGTGATTCACGAACGCGATTTTGTTTTCTTCCCCGAATTAATCCTCACCGCGGAATGACGTGGCATTCGTCGAGGGAAAAACATATTACCTCATTTTTTTGTTGTTGTATCTAACTCACCGATGTTTCCTCATGTTGATGTTGCGGTTTTGATGCTTCTTGGATTTGTGAATCTGTTGAATAGCTCTGAATATTGAGAAATTCTTAGCAGCCTACCTTTTAATCCATCGTTTTCACGTTGAAGATTGACGAACCGCGCAGTCATGCAGTTAATTTTTAGACAATTTTTTAGATCTTTTCTATTTCGTAAACCTAATGTTTCAATTCCTCACCATCAGTCTAAAATGTCTGCTATAATTCATTTCCTACTCTAGTTGAACAAACGGGTGGGAAAATGCGTGGAACGTATATTTTAAAATAAAACGCCCCGTCGTTCACGCAAAGGATCAATTTCCGTTCATATTATGCAACTCACGCTCTGTTTTCAGGCGTTGAAAAAAATATACGATTGCGGAAAAATGTCTTCCATAGGATAGGGTGTGAACATTTTCATACCTCACGATAAATAACAAAAGCGTCGGGGGAATTTTACTTAGTCTAACATCGAGTTTCCCAACGATATCAGCGTGGAAAAAGAAATAGATTCGACCCGCGTGGCCTTCATCACAAAGTCGATGAGCAAGTTCACCCACGTGATTCCGACATGCGGGAAATCTCATTCGAAATCAAAGTTATATTTTTGTTCCCCGAAAATGTGCAAATCTGTTGTTGTTGCTCCTGTATTCAGTCGCGAAAATGACGCATTTTATCACCCAAATTGGATCCTAAACTACGCATGTTTTTAAATGGAAAGTTGTCGCTTCCACCCAACTCAACTCAACCCATTGAATTGAAATGAAATCTCATATTAAATCGAACGATGCCCCCGAGGAATATTCAATCACTTCTGACGAAAAAGGGAGCTGGATATCCTGCAATAGCAATGTGATCATGAATAACTAAAAACATGGTAAATCACAAGGTCAGTCACCCAGGAATTATGCCTCTTTTTTGTCCTTCAAATGTTACAATACTTTCGTTTTTTGCAGCTGCAAGAATAGTCGAGAAAGGGGATTTCAAAACACATATGTACTGTACATCCATATAATACAGTATTAATTAGCAGACTCCTCCGAGTGAGGACGAATATAAATTGCTTGAAAATTCGAGAAATAGATAATACATGAGCGTTTATTAATTTCTTAGAATATCCTGGGAGTTGTCATTCAATTACGCGTTGACAATGCTGCAGGAAATATTGGTTCAACTTTGGAAATCTCGTTATCTAAGTATACGCCGTTAGTGTTGAACCTATAGGTTTTCCGATATTAAATTTTACTGATAGTAAAAAAACAAACAACGCGAATTGCTAGAAGTTGGATTCACGTAACGCAAATCAAACTACTTGAAAACGTCATTTGAAATGCATGAAGAACTTGAGTTTCGAAGAGGCAAGCCGCCTCGAAGAAACCGTAAAAACACAAATCACGTCAGTTCTGGCATCGCGAGGTCGTTTCATTTCCGTCTCCTTTATTCGTTTTATCTTTTATTCATTTATGCGACGCGATGAAGATAAAAACGATCAATCGTAGAAACTTGTCGGCTCACTCTGGTCGCGTGCCATTCACAGCTTAGGACAGAAGCGAGTATGACCTACGATGCAATCGGGTCAAGTTCGCGTCACGATTCCGGCGAGAGACTCGAGACGCAACACACGAAAATAAATCCCCGGGGATTTTCCCTCTTTCATGTTGTTATTTTTGGTCCTCTCGACGAACAAACAAATCACATCGATGACCTTCAACCGAGAATAAAAGCAAAAAAAAATTTACATGAATCCCTAAAAACTATTCTTTCAGCTCGAGGGTATTCGAAGAAAATGATGAAAATTTGGAAACGGTCCCGGTGCTATGTAAGAAAGAAAGAAATACCTTGGGTAAATGATAATATTCAAACGCATTTTTCGGAATCCAAGATATACTGTGAGAGCGAACGAAATCTGTATTCACGACTAAATTGACTTCCCTGAAAAGCGACTTATTAGCACACAAAATTAAAGAACATAGACAGAAATTCAACAGCGTTGGTTTCCTTTTAGCAAAGAAGGCCATTCTAAACTGTAGACCTTAGAGGGTCTCGTCCAAAGCGTTAAGTTTCATATTTGTAAATATTGTAATGCAATGTTTAATTGACAAGCGTGGTCACACGGAATTGAAATATGGTTGATAAAATCAGTCCTCAGCGTCAAGTTCAAACTATATTCCGTTACTCCGATCCTTTCGATTGAAAATTTATGTTATTGTATGATAAGCATTGTTGGAACCAAGAATATGTTCCCAATTGCATTTTGCTATAGCCTCAAAACAGCGAGATTAGTAATTTTCTTTCTGGATTACTTCACAATTTACGCAATAGCATAGCAGAATATTCCATGGATTTTCGTAAGATATTTATGAAAATAATTTACATTCTCTATCATTCTTCCAACAAAAAACAGCGAGTTAAGCATTTCTGAATTACACAGTATTCGTAATACCGGAACGCATCGATGCAAAATTCAAGCAAATGTGGGATTTTCAAATCGTGTTCATTCACTTTCTAACATTGCATAATAAGCGCGTGATTTTATGGTAAGATTTCACGTAGCTGACATAAACGTTCAACTGTAATTTTTTTGTTTTTTGTTTGTTCCCTGAAGAATTTCGAATCACAAGGGAATACTGTATTTTTTTGTTCCCTGAAGAATTTCGAATCACAAGGGAATACNGAAAAACATATTACCTCATTTTTTTGTTGTTGTATCTAACTCACCGATGTTTCCTCATGTTGATGTTGCGGTTTTGATGCTTCTTGGATTTGTGAATCTGTTGAATAGCTCTGAATATTGAGAAATTCTTAGCAGCCTACCTTTTAATCCATCGTTTTCACGTTGAAGATTGACGAACCGCGCAGTCATGCAGTTAATTTTTAGACAATTTTTTAGATCTTTTCTATTTCGTAAACCTAATGTTTCAATTCCTCACCATCAGTCTAAAATGTCTGCTATAATTCATTTCCTACTCTAGTTGAACAAACGGGTGGGAAAATGCGTGGAACGTATATTTTAAAATAAAACGCCCCGTCGTTCACGCAAAGGATCAATTTCCGTTCATATTATGCAACTCACGCTCTGTTTTCAGGCGTTGAAAAAAATATACGATTGCGGAAAAATGCCTTCCATAGGATATGGTGTGAACATTTTCATACCTCACGATAAATAACAAAAGCGTCGGGGGAATTTTACTTAGTCTAACATCGAGTTTCCCAACGATATCAGCGTGGAAAAAGAAATAGATTCGACCCGCGTGGCCTTCATCACAAAGTCGATGAGCAAGTTCACCCACGTGATTCCGACATGCGGGAAATCTCATTCGAAATCAAAGTTATATTTTTGTTCCCCGAAAATGTGCAAATCTGTTGTTGTTGCTCCTGTATTCAGTCGCGAAAATGACGCATTTTATCACCCAAATTGGATCCTAAACTACGCATGTTTTTAAATGGAAAGTTGTCGCTTCCACCCAACTCAACTCAACCCATTGAATTGAAATGAAATCTCATATTAAATCGAACGATGCCCCCGAGGAATATTCAATCACTTCTGACGAAAAAGGG